TAGGTTGAATGAAGACACAGTTCCAAAAGCAAACACACTTGGTTGATGCTGAGAGTGGTCCTGTTGCTGAGGTTCGGTCATCCGGTAATCGCTTACGAACTACCTCCAATGCTTCCGTGACTGGGATGCAAGTGAAGAGAGATGTAATGTTGTACGAGACCATGGTTTCATCTGCCTCCATAATGACATCTCTCACCTTCTCAACAAAATCCAGGGTGTTCTGGATGTGGTGTTCAGAGCTGCCTACCAGCGGGTTGAGGATCAAAGCCAGAAACTTGGAGATGTTATAGGTTGCTGGAATTTATTCTGTTTCAACAGGAAGAACTGAATATGTTACTCATCATAGCTTAATGGTACAGAAATACACAATAGTGTTTGTCTGCTACAGTCTGCTTAACAATTATGGCAGCACCTTGTGGATGTTTAGCAAAGCTTGTGGTAGCTAATCCGTAAAATGTTAGACATGTTCTGTCATGCTGAATTTTTCCCCGATGTGCATGGTTCAGTCACTCAGGTCATATTTTCTTAACCTTCAGATTAGTTTATCAAAGCTGTGACACCAAGACTGAGGTGAGTCCGCTGATTAAAACAGAGAACTGTGACGCGTCACTGGACCATGACAGCAATTTCTATGTTTGGTTTATGAACAACTTGTGAATAAAGCTTACACGCTTGAGTTTCCTCTGGAGTCTCTGGTTTCAGTCCAAAGCTTTTAAGGTTAACTGGTTTGGGTCAATGACTGAGTTTTAATTTGTATTATTTTTGCTACATCTGGCAACTTTGTGCCCTCTGGTGCATGAAATACTGATCCCTGGTGGATTTTCTGTGAACTGCATGTGTCCAATTCACAAAAGTAAAATAAATAAAATGATGTGAAAGAATAATAAGAAATAGAAATAAACAGCAATAATGCAAGAACTATATATCAGGGTAGAATTAAGTCCAAATATAAAGTACAATTAGATGTACATAGTCATACTAAGGTAGGACATACAGATTGTACAGGTGTTATTATATAAAACTGTATTATAATGTGTACATCACAGTTCAGTAATCAGGCAGTGATTCAGTAGCCTGATGGCCTGTACAACCGCACATGTTGAAAAATAATACTTAACCAATATGTTGAAATTTAAACTTGTCCGTACGTGATGAGCTGGACATGTTCAGTGTTACTGCTACCTCGCAATGTGTCATGACACCTATGACAAAGGTAACTCTGTGCCTGTCTTTGAGATTTGACAAAACTGCGTTTGTTCCTCTGGAACCAGCTTGAACGAGCTAACACTCCACTGCTGTATGCAATGAAGGCCCTTCACTAGTCAAACAAACACGTGTAAGCTTGTGCAGATATCATTAATGAAACTGTTTTGCTGTTTTCTGCTTTGAATTCACATCCAAAGTTGCACATCGCTCACTTTTTCCTCTGTTCTGCTCTGCTGGAAACTAACTGCTCTGCTGATCTGTGGGCGGCTGTTTGCTTCCAGTAATTATCAGTTAGGCCTATTCTTCTCTCTATAATCAGTTACAGCTGCCATGTCCTTCGTCATCCTCCCTCTCCCCTAATAACCTTTCTCCTTCCCTCATGACAAGTTAATGAGGGACGTCCAGTGACCCCCCCAACAGGGCACTAAACACCAGCTATAAGACGGTGAAGGCTAAAAAAAAAGCAAAAACGTGTCACTGCAGTAAGTGAACACCGCACAAACACCAGAGACAGGTTCAGGGCTCCATGTGGGCACACACTACTACTTTGATTTAATCCTGAATTAAATTTAAGACACAGGGTCTTCAAAATAGATAAACAATAAGGCAGTACTTTTACATGTTTGTAGTGTCCTTTGTATTTTTGTCTAATGTGGTTAAAGTGACCCATTCTTCTGATCTGACTCCACATTTCTATTCTTGGACTCTACTAGAAAAGCTTTGCATGATCCAGAGTTCAAAATAATCATGACGATGTGGGAGATGCACCTGACTTTACATTTTCCAGTGTGGCTTGACGCCCCAACCTCGCTTTAACTGGACTTTCTTCTGATTGGCTGCCCCTTAAATACAAAATACTTAAATAACAAGTGATTAAAATAGTAAAATATCTGGTTATATAAGATTGTGACAAGATTGAATAAATATCAGTTTTTAGAAAATAACAAAGGGGGGGGGGGGGGGGGGGAATAGAGGAAATATAACTGTTAGTTTAAAGGACAGAAATGGAGGTAAAAACAGGACATATCAAAAATAATCACCCAGTTTCAAAGTGATTTAATTTCTGGCTGGAGTCACAAACTTCATATGGATGTAGGGGGTCACACCAATTAGGTTGGTGTGCAAACAAAAGTAGTAGCAGAAACTCTTAAACATTGTAATTTAACAACAAACATTAAAGGAAAGATGCACAGCTTATATACACTGCGTTCCAAATTATTATGCAAATTGTGTTTAAGTGTCATAAAGAGTAAATAAGTTGTTTTTCAATTAAACTCATGGATGGAATTGTGTCTCAGGGCTCTTTGTATCACTGAAATCAATCTCGGACACCTATGATCATTTGTTTGCCAGGTGAGCCCAATTAAAGGAAAAACTACTAAAGAAGGATGTTCCACATTATGAAGCAGACCACCATTTTCAAGCAATATAGGAAGGGAAAATGATTACTCTGCTGCTGAAAAGAGTGAAATAGTTGAATGGCTTGGACATGTAATGAAAACCTTAGATATTTCACGAAAATTTAAGCGTGATCACCATAATGTTAAGAGATTTGTGGCTGAGTCAGAGCATAGATGGGTTCATGCAAATAAAGGCACAATGAGGAAGGTTTCTGCCAGACAAATACATCAGATTAAGAGAGCAGCTGCTAAAAGGCCATTACAAAGCAGCAAACACATATTTGAAGCTGCTGGTGCCTCTGGAGCCCTGTGAACATCAAGGTGTAGGATCCTCCAGAGACTTGCAGTTGTGCATGAACCTTCTATTTGGCCACCCCTAACCAATGCTCACAAGCAGAAATGGCTGCAGTGGGCCCAGAACTACACGAAGACTAATTTTCAAACAGTCTTGATCACTGATGAATGCAGTGCAAGCCTGGATGGTCCAGATGGATGCAGTGGTGGATGCAGTGGTGGATGGCTGGTGGACGGCCACCATGTCCCAACAGGGCTGCGTTGTCAGCAAGGAGGTGGTGGAGTCATGTTTTGAGACAGAATCACGGGGAGAGAGCTGATCGGCCTCTTTAGGGTCCCTGAAGGTGTGAAAATGACCTCTGCAAAGTATGTGGAGTTTCTGACTGACCACCTTCTTCCATGGTAGAAAGAGAAGAACTGTGCCTTCTGCAACATAACCATCTTCATGCTAGTCAATGCACCATCTCATGCTACAAGGAACACCTCTGCATCATTGGCTGCTATCGGCGTAAAAGGAGAGGAACTCATGTTGTGGTCCCCATCCTGACTTCAATCCTACTGAGAACCTTTGGAGCATCCTCAAGCAAAAAACTATAAGGGTGGGAGGCAGTTCACATCCAAACAGCAGCTCAGGGAGGCTATTCTGACATCCTGCAAAGACATTCAAGTAGAAACTTTCCAAAAACTTACAAGTTCCATGGATGCAAGAATTGTAAAACTGCTATCAAATAAGGGGTCCTATGTTAATATGTAACTTGATCTGTTAAGATGTTTTTGATTGAAATAGCTTTTGATTTCAGTGAAATTGATCTACTAATGCTGCAAATTCAACAAATGACTATTTTGAATTCTCTACAACCTATAAAATCTTTTGAAGCTCTGTGTGCGTAATAATTTGGAATAGTGCATTTTAAGTTTTTTATTTTTGAAGAACATACTGTTTTCATTGGGAGTTTTGTTCAGCAACATTTGAATTATATTCTGTTGGTCGATGACTCGAAAATGATGCCGACTGTCATTTGAATCGACTATTTCGGAAAAACAGAGAAAAATATAATTTGCATAATAATTTGGAATGCAGTGTATATATCTGTTATAATCAGTTCATTATTTCCCTTCAAATGGAGCCACGTTTGTAAGGGAAATACATTTGTGAGTTGAGCAGCAGAGTTGAGTATGCGGGTTTTGTCCATGAAAAACAAGCCAGACCTTCTCTGCCAAGGCCAAACAATTTATTCTTGAGTCTTGTTTGGTTTAATTTAATGGATTGGATAATTGAAGTCTGAAGAAACAAGACATAGCAACAGTTTACAGTCTATTCATTGAACAAATGGACCTCAGTACCATGTGGAAGAACCATACACAGCCTGGTATCTCCTCCTCATGCTGGTCACCAGCTCGTTCACACACTGCTGTGGGATGGCATCCCATTCATCAACCAGCATTTGTCACAAATCAGCCTGTATAGTTGTGCTTTTGGCATTGGCAGAGAAGACCCCTTAGGTTTATATATCTATACATATCTGCCAGCAAACTGAGTTTCCAATGACCCAAAAGTCACTGGAATCTAGAGTCAGGGACATTAGTTGAAATACACCATTTTTACAGATTTGTAACCATGACGGCAAAAGAAATGTGTGAGACTTCATGTGAAAGGCAACACCTTCTAATATTTGAAAATGTGCCTAATTAACAAACTAGTGAAAAAAAACAAACAAACCTAATCTTAACCTTTCGCCTGACGTGTTCACCATTAGGAGGTTAAGTAAGACGAGCAATGAAGGTCTCAGTTTCCATGGATACAGTTCAAAATTTTCTGCCGTTGTCCTCTGTCATGCCTCAACTTTTTCTGTCTGTTGTCTTTTAATCATTTAATGTCCCCTATGCATATCTTCCACAGATTAATTAAATATGAAAGAAAAAAAATAGCCATGATTATGCAAACTCTCATTAAGCAAAGTATTAGTGGATAAAGTAACTGAGCTGTAGCACATTTTTCTGGGCTCCCAGGAGCACTCCCGGACTTTAGTTTTAAGAACGTCTCAATTAAAAAGTCCTATTATCCTTCTCACTTTAATTCTCTCCCACTCTTTCTTCCAGCAAAAGGTTTTAGGTGGCGACTTCTACAACAAAGTGTGCGGTCATCTGAAACTGCTGGAGAAGGAGTACTTTGGCCTGGAGTTCAGACACCACAGTGGCAATTATGTAAGAAATGCTGGATCACACAGATACGCACAGATCAGTGCGGGAGGTTTTTAATGTCTTAACAAGTTTCTGTTGCAGGTTTGGTTGGAGCTGCTGAAACCTTTGGTCAAACAGATCAAATGTAAGTCATATCTGTCCTAAGATTAGTGCTCTGACTTCATATTTCCTCCAAATATTTCCAGATTTCAACGTCTCCGTTGGCACCATTGTCCTACGTCTATAATCTCTTTTCTTTTCCCCTCTGTCAGACACCAATGATTTATTCTTCAGGTTTATAGTCAAATTTTTTCCACCAGATCCTGGACAACTCAAGAGAGGCCTCACCAGGTAAAGTCTGAGCATATATGTGATATATGTGAAATGCCACAGTAGGTGTACTCATACTGTTTTGTGTGTGCACAGGTATCTTTTTGCCTTACAGATCAAGCAGGACTTGTCTAATGGCAGTCTGACCTGTAATGACAACAGTGCCGCCCTGCTGGTCTCTCACATACTGCAGTGTAAGCATCAAAGTGCATCACACCTGCTGTAATTTTTTTTTTTTTTTTGTTTTTGCGGAAGATTCAGAAAAGTATGGAGCCCCGCAAGGGACATGGCAGAAAAAAAAATTACGATGAAGTTTTGCGAGATCTCGCAAAACAAACTCGGGATCTCGCAAAACTTTTGCGAGATGTCGCAAAACTTTTAAGATATTTCGAGGTGTGAATGTAGCTATGTAAACGTCAAATATCTGCTGGGTTTACAAGACATCACATATTTGCAAAAGTGCTCCGACGTTTTTGGAGATCTGACACCCACCATCTCGAAGCTAATGGGAGGTCGAGACCTACTACAGCCGGGAGGAACACCGCTCTCCCGGAACATTGTGCCTCGACCTCCCGGTCGGCTTCGAGCTGGCGGCCACCAAAGAATGCGGCTAAAACTTTTGTGAGATCCTGAGTTTGTTTTGCGAGATCTTGCAAAAGTCAGTCTTAATTTTTTTTTCTCCCATGTCCCTTGTGGGGCTCCGTAGAAAAGTACTGGAAACGTTCCTCAGACATTTTGGTCCATATTGACATGATAGCATTACACAGACGCAGGTGCTCATCCCAGAGGTGCTCAGATTCAGATGTGGTGATTGTGCAGCGCGTTTGAGTACAGTGAACTCATTGTCGTGTTCAAAAAAACAGTTTGAGATGATCTGAGCTTTGTGACATGGTGTGTTATCCTGCTGGAAGCAGCAATCAGAGGATAGGCATAGGCAATGGCATTTAAACAATGTTCAACTGTTTAAATGTGTATTTTAAGAAAGTATCCTCTTACAATTACACCGGCAGTTTCTTGGCCTTCACTGACAACAGTGGCACCTGGTTTGGTCTTCTGCGGCTATAGCCCATCTGCTTCAAGGTTCAGCATGTTGTGCATTCAGAGATGCTCTTCTGCATACCTTCATATCACGTTATTTGATTTACTGCTGCCTTCCTATCAGCTCAAAGCAGTCTGGCCCTTCTCCTGTAATCTCTGGAATCAACAAAGTATTTTCACCTACAGAGCTGCTGCTCGTGGGATATTTTATCTTTATTGGGACATTTTCTGTAAAGCCTAGTGATGGTTGTGAGGGAAATTCCCAGTAGATTAACAGTCTCTGAAATGCTCAGATGAGCCCATGTGGTGCCAACAACTGTGCCACACTAAAATTTGAACTTTGGTAGGAAATCTATATGTTTACATGGCTACATGCATTTTTCTGCATGTGTACCTAATAAAGGGTCCAGGGAGTACATATTCATTATATACATTATGTTTTTGAAAATGTGTTTCATATACTGCATTTACTTAGTCAAAGATTTCCCTCTAGAGCAACGACCCACTCAGATTCTCTCCTTCCCAAATGGCCCAAAAATGGCGACTATGCTGCAATTAAATATTTAAAACGCAGAGAAACTAAATATGTGTTTGCATGCATTTGCATTTGTGCTACAGCAGAGATAGGGGACTATGATGAGGAGCTGGACTGCCAGCATTTGGAGATGAAGCACTATGTTCCCAACCAGGAATATCTGGACCACAAAATCATCAAGTTTCACAAGAAACACAGGTATGAAGTGAAGCAGAAGACACTGGTGCTCTGTAGTATGCGGACAGTTTTGTCAAACTAGTGTTAATTTTGACCAGAGAGAAAGGGCAAAGTATTAACTGGATGTAGGACTGCGCCTCTTTCCCCCATCCCACCCATAGATTCTTTTAAAAAGACGATAGATTTGAAAATATGATCGTTTCCAACCAAAATGCCACTTTTGAAACATGTGTTTGACATGTTGTTTGAGTCTAACTAGGAGAAATTTTGTTGGAAAAGCAGAAGTGACTGCTGGGTCAAATTGGCAGCAAAACAACAGCAATGCATCCAACTCTCCATAAATCAGAGGCTGGATAGTAATTGTGATTCTTTGTTTCTGTCCATAGAGGACTCTCTCCAGCAAACTCCGACATCCAGCTGCTGGAGGTGGCGAGGAAGCTGGACATGTACGGAATCAGGCCTTACCCTGCCTATGATGGGGAGGGAATGAGGATCAATCTGGCTGTCACACACTCTGGAGTGCTAGTCTTTCAGGTGTGTCCACTTCCACATAAAAGGACAAATATTTTTATTTTTTTCCATCAGAAAAATTTCCTCTTCTTCTAAGCTAGGAGTTGCTGTTTTAGCATAAAAAAAGTTGGTTTGTGAAGTTACAACACAATAACTTTAATGGATCTAATAAACTAACAATCATTCATTGTATGCGAGATAAAACAAGATATGCGAGATGTGTAGAGATAAAACCTGAGGACGTCGGTGATCCTTTTTAGTTTTTACAGTACCAATAAAAGTTTACAATTTCCATGTGCATTTCTCAAAAATCAACTAACAGGTTTAGGAGAGGAACACTGTTTGAGGCTAAATATGTGTGCAGATGCTACACTACACATTACATATAATCTCTCATTATTTTTTTCTTGTGTTTTTCCAGGGAAACACAAAAATTAACACATTCAGCTGGGCAAAGATCCGCAAGCTAAGCTTCAAACGCAAGCATTTCCTCATCAAACTACATGATAAAGTTGGGGTGAGAAACTGGTCCAGTTTGGGCCACACGGTTTTGCTTTTTGTCCTATTAAGATTTATCTTTGAGGGGTGTACCCTGCCTCCCACCCTAAGACAGCTGGGATTGGCTCCAGCTCCCCCACAACCCTGAAAAAGGATAAGGGGAAGCGGATGGATGGGGGGTTTTTTTGGCCGTTATTCAATAGTTGAGCTGTTAAGAGTAGAAAAGAAAGGGTGGTGGTGGTGTGGGGTAGACATGTAGAAATAAGCCATGGACATCTGCATTTCAGCCATATGGCATGTGGTCACCTGCTCAACCAGTTAGCTAAACTGACACACCTACCATTAGTATTTAGTATGGAATAATGAGTGAGTTTATGTCTCACTCCCCTGTGAGTGAACAGGGGACTCTTGTGATGGATGCATGAAAAATGGGCAGGTCCAAATATTTAAGAGATCTTTGGAAGGAACAAAACATCCTGGCCAAAAGAGTAAGGCTTTTGTGGAGATCTCCTGGCCAGTAGTTCTAAGTACTTGTGAACAGCATGCAAATAGGCAATGTAAAGATCAAATCCGATCCATAGCAGCTACCAAGTTACTAATGTAAAGGTTCTACAGCTAAAGCACTGGTGCCAGTTTCCACAGAGCACCCTATGGGGGCTTTTAAGTTCTCCGGTAGAAGACTTTTTGGGACTTGAAGTGCAGACAGCATGCTATACAGAGGCGGTTTTAAATATTTGACTCATCATCGTCTTATTTCATGTCCATCCAGCCCTCGTGTAAGGATACACTAGAGTTGGCCATGGCCAGCCGTGATGTGTGTAAATCATTCTGGAAGATGTGTGTGGAGTACCATGCTTTCTTCAGGCTGGCTGAGGAACCAAAGGCCATACACAAAACTCTGCTGTCATGTAAAGGCTCCAGCTTCAGATACAGGTAAAATGCAGACAAGTGCACATAATGCTATAATCTGAAGGTGCATTCAGGCTTTTGTATAATACATATATATATATTAATCATCTTTTGCCCAAAATCAAAGTCATTTACTTCCAGTGTCTACTATGCATGAATTGTTCTCCAACCATTTAGTGGTACATCATCTGGATTTAAGCTTGTACACAAATATTTTGACTCACAAAACTTTTTACTTACCTACTCTTGTAGTGTTTGAATAAACCATCCTGAGCTTTCCAGCTTATCCAAAGGACAGATCATGTCGTGGTGATCAGTCTGTCCACAACTCACAAGAATCCCTACTGATAGTATTGGTTAGAATTGAACCAAACTGTGCTCAAAGTCATTTGCTGATTTATAAGCAAAAACCTGAGAAATATGATGGACTGTGAGCGTTTTTTTATTACCCTTTTCTTCTGATGAATATTCAGACTCTTTGTTTTCAGTCAGGTGTGGTAGTGTGTCCATCTGATGTTAGTAATGTTGTTTGGCAGTGGTCGGACCCAGAAGCAGCTGCTGGAGTGTCTGGGATCAGGGGAGAAGAAGCCTTCACACTTTGAAAAGTGAGAGAGAGATTTTATTGATGCTTCAATTTCCTTTTCATAAGCAAGAAACTTGCTTATGCATGTACTTCAAAAGCAAGGAGCTTTAAGTACTTGAAACGGCAACATATTTTATTAAGCCATCTTATGTAAAGGTCAAAGGATCTGGAACAGAGGAATATTTTGTGATCAATTTTTATAGTCTGTGTATAACATCCGTTATTTTATTCCTTTCTCTGTCTGTCCAGGATGTACAGTCAGACTGACTGTGACCCCAGACAATGTCGATCTTCTCCTGATCTCCTCACAGATGTCTCCAAACAGGTAATAAATATGACTGTTCAGTCTTTAAAACTATTACTTGACACACAAAGCATATTCATGTCTGACAAAATTAAAACAGCTACTGTTCTATTATCTGTTTTTAATGATTTTGTTTAATTAACTTGAAGAGCTATGGGTTTTTCAAAATTTCATTACATGTTCTTGGGCCGTTTTTTCTTCTTTTTTACAGTTCTCTGATATTATCTAATACATACATACTCTGATATCATATGAGCGAATTAATTAATGGTAGCATAATCAAAATATTAGTAATAAAAACAACTCGAGTGTTCGTGCCTTTTCTTCTCAGGTGTACGAACATTCCCACCCATTCCCACGGTCAAGTCGTGCTCTGGCAATACACAGCCAGGATCAGCTGGACCCGCATCATCGAGACAATGATATTGAAATCAACGAAAGAGTGGCTAAACGCAGCCATTCATGTGTTGAGGTCAGCCAGAGGCCTCGCCTCCTCTCCCAAGTCACTCCTCTTTCTCCATCTGTCAACCAGACAACGCCGCCTTCACCCTCACTGAAGACGAGATCTGCTTCGATATCTGTAGTAGAGGACGCAAGGGGGGTACGAATCGGGACACAGCGCCAAGCCCAGCGGTTAGCTGGTGTCTATGGAAACCGATCTAGACGTCGACCCAACCCCCAGCCACATCCAGATGCAGGACAGCAGCTGGTCCTTCTCTACCCTAACAGCCCTGCCTACCAGTATCATCCTGTCCTCCCATCGTTCCCATTAGGTGGCTCCTCGCCACTCAACCGACATCCCTACTTGTCGGAATTTGTTACCGTTTCCTCACTGGAACGAATTCCACATACAAGACGGCGGGATTATGTGACAATGGATGGCATAACACGGCCATCTTTTTACCCAATGTGTCACGATTCGCCATCTAGTTCACCAATCAGGAGAAACCTCCGCTCCAGTGGTTCAGGTGGGCTGGGATTGGCCAGAATGTACCAACCAGGAAGCAATGGTGCAAGAATCAGGGGCGTTGGACATACAGAGGCGGGTCATTACAGCGATGACTCCAACTTCCTTCCTGGACTGCCTCGCCGTGTAGCCAGCCAACCTGATGTCAAATTAAACCTCTCGAGGAGCTCAAACACTGCCTTTAACCCTGCTTCTGAGTTTCGCCCTCTTGGTTACTACCCCCACCTGACGCGCCCCTCCAGACCCACCTACCTCCCACTAAACTCTTTCCCTCTGCCTGAACGCCCCAGTTCACTATGTATGATTGGCAGCACTGCGGGAAGCTACAGCGACTCAGACCCGGAGGTTTTCTATCCATACTACTGCCCTGCCCCTCAGGTAGGCAAGATGGTACGGTCCGCTGGACTAGCCAGGATGAGGTTTTCATCGGGGAGTCTCCAACTTGATGAGGAGGAAGAGGGGGAGGAGGAAGAGAAGGAGCATGCAACAGCAAAAGAAACTGCAAAGAAGGAGCCAGAGGGTGAAGAGGAGAAGAAAGAAAAGAGTGAAGGAGGAGCGGATACGAAAGGAGCGGCAAAGGTTACTGAAGTGACGCTGTAGAAAAGATTAAAACATTAAAGCGATTGATGATCACAGTCAAAACTGGAAGGATAATTTAAAATAGCACATCCTCTGCAGACTGTAGATAACACGATAAATGTATTAGATAAGAAGTGTGTCGTTTTGAGGTGCACTGGCAGATGAAATGTATTTTTTTGCCTTCTTCAAGTGAAAACCTCAGATTTTGAAAAGGGGCTACTGTTTTAGTGGCTATTTTATAGGTGCAAGCTTACAAAAACAAGTAAATAAATAATAATAATAATAATAATAATTAGTATTTTAGAAATTAAAGATGTTTGACAAATTAAAGCAGACAACAATTTAAATTTTTTGTTAAGGTGTTTGAGCCACTACAACATTAACTCTTCAAACATTCCTTTACCAGAGGGGTATGGGCACCATGTTTCTTAAATATTTTCCCTCATTTCATGTCTTGATGATGATCATCAAATGGAGACACATTGGTCTCCTGAAGATGTTAATTTTAGTTGCAATCTGGTGACTGTGAAGTTCATAGGCTACTCCTTAAGCCGTGTTAACTATAAGGTAGGCCCATATATAGGTGGAGGCACTGTCATCCTGAAATAGACCACTCACATCCCATACAACTGGTCAACCAGAACAACTTTCTATTGGTTTTCATTTTTCGTTCCCTCTAAGGCAGGGGTGGGCCAATAATTTTTCCAAGGGACTACATGAGAAACTGGGACTGCAGGGCTGCATCAATTAAGCTTATTGGTGTGGCCATCCAAAAAAGTCCCAGTTTCTAACGTGGCCCCTCGGAAAAAGGAAACCGCAAAATACCCCAAATGTCTTAATAGAGCCAACAGATGCTCTAAGGGCCGAGCATTCTAGGCTGTGCTTTTCTCTTGATGTCTTTATGTGTGTCTTTTATGCAGTCTCTGACTTATTGACAGTATGGTTAAGGATGGCTCACCCAAACGTATCACTTTTCCACATTTCTGCAGACCAGTGCCTATGTTGCTTTTTTGCTTTGTAACCCCTTTCATTGAAGCACTCTATAGCTATGTGCAGTACATGTGTGAAAAGCATACCTAGGTTGAAAAAAAAAAATGGATGAAGCAACTGTGACGTTAGCTTTTCAGCCACTGTTACACTAGTTTTTGGAGCCAGAATTTACCATATCTGGACAAGTTATCAGTTGCTGGTAAAAAAAGGAGAGTGTTTGGTCACAACCCCCCTGAAATCTTGGTAGATAAAGAAAATCTGTATTCCCCAATTGACTGGGCAGTGGATGCCAAGTGAGAGCCGCTAAATGAATATGGTACTGCACTGAAAACCTCTTTTTGATTGATTTGCTCACTGGCAGATCACTACGGTGATCCAGTTTGCGTGGAAGACGGAGACTTGACTACAAACAATCACCTAGTGGTGGTGAAACTCTGAAAAGTGCATCTATTGGAAAGTGTTGATTTTATCATCTTTGACGTTGCTAACCACAGGCAGCAACCTCCACTGCCAGCTGGTAAGGGAAAACATATTTTTTTGCATACTAAATAGTTGTTGCCAAGGGAACAACAACCGATCTGTGTGTAACTGAGTTTTAAAGTACAAAGAATACGCCAAGAATCTGCATTCTTGGCATTACCTTTAATCGTCCATAATTGTCTATATTTCTATGTGATCGTCCTCACTGACTGTCCAAAGTAAAACATAAGCGACATGTGTATCAACAAAGACCCTTGTTGCTACATCCAAAAAACAAAACAAACAAAAAAGAAAACTCTAAGAGAGAATGAAATCCCTGTTGCCGTTTATATGCATTTATAGTTATATGCAAACACTAGCCATACCCTTACCAGTTAATCCAGCCTATCAAGCACTGGAATCTAACATTCACAGATTGTGTGGATTGGACTGAAATCATGTGGAGTCTGTTTTGATCCCACTGGACCAGCGAACTATTAGCAATGTGGTAGTTGTGCTGGCTTTAACCTTTCCCACAGACTAAAATGGTGGTCAATTTGATCCCGATCAGATCATCTGAATTTCAGGTTGTGTTATTTAATGTTGACATACTGCTGTATTTGGAGACATTATTTCAGACTAATGGCAATGGTTTAAAAACAGAGCAAAACAATAATAATAAATAATCAAACACCAATAAAAATAAATCATTTTTAATCTGTGTGAAAATGACTAAATTAATCTTGATGTCTGTTGGAAAAGGACCTTCTAGGACTTAAATATAAAGTCTTTGTGTGTGGGTATGATGCCTTCATAATGTTGGTGGAATCATTTTCTGGGTGATGTAGTTATATAATGTATTGTTACTTCTGTAGAAAAAAGTGAACTTTGGGTTTATATATATTACAGTCGCATTTTGTCATTAAAGGATTAAAAACAAGAAGACAATTGTGTTAAAATTAATAAAGTGCAAGATTGTAAAAAATATATAATAAAGGAACTCATAATCACTGAATAAAACCCAGTGAAAGCAGTTGAATCAAACTTAAATATTTATTCATAAAACTCTAAGTCCCGCTACAAAAAATGAGTACATTGCTGTAAAATCTTACATCTTTCACTTTACATCTACCCCTCAACAAGCATTGTATCCCTTATGATATATATAAAAAAAACGAAACAAATATACAGCGACTGAATTTTATATAGTGTCTTTGGTACAAACTATCAGTAACACCTTCAACTGCAGGTCCCTTCATGCCCTTGAAAAAACCTGCGCTACTTTCCAATGTTGTCTATTAAGGAAGATATCGTAAAACTTTCTGACACAATCTGAAACTTACCAAGTTTTCCAAAATGCTACATATAATGAAGCAGCCACTGGAAGACCTTTGTGTCATAACTACATGTCAACATGTATTCTTTAATTAAAAAAAAAAAAAAAAAAAAAAAAGATTCCTTCAATCTTACTGGGTGTGGGTTATCAAACGTAGTTACACTCACCAAATGGCAGCCATTTTCATCATTTTAACATCCTGTACCTCAGTCAAAAAGACTGGTCAGTGACTGCATGGTAACCTCCAGTTGCTAAGAATGAAGGCGTATCCTCCTAATCAGTTGGCAAGTGATAAACGTGTTTGCATTGAGTGTGTTGCACTGAAAGACTCGTGACTTCTTCAGTCACTTGCAGCTTGCCATGTTTGCCAGCAGTCTGCATGGAAGATGGCGACTTATCTGCAAACACTAACCAAACACCGAGTGGTAGTGAAACTGGAAAAAATTTGTAATGGAAACAGAGGACATGTGCCTAATGAAATGTATTGGTTTCAGTGGTAAGGCAAAACTTACAAAGGAACGTTCTTTGTTTCCAGTTGGCACCACATTTTTCAAGGTTTCATTACCACTTGGTGTAGTTGATCAGTGTAGACAATTTTTGCATCTTCCGTACAAACTACAAACAACTGTGGCAATCTGCTAGCAACCAAAGCAATTGGTAGGAGGTTTGCATTGAAGCTAGCAAGTGCAAGAACACTCCAGCAACCACTTGCCAATCAATCGGGGACTACACATTTCTTTCCCCCCTCTACTAGGTCACCGATTGGTCTCTAAGCCTCTGTGATTAAAGCCTTAACTGCTGCTAATTAGAGAAGGGCAGTAACAACAACAGCTATCTAGCTTACTGTTTAGCAAGCTACTAACTATTTGGCTAGCAAGACTAACATAACAAAATAAATCTGGACTAACAGTTGTGTGCTGCCAGTGGCTTTGTTACTAAAACTAACTAAACCAGCCTTATTCACATGGCAGCCATTTTCAGCATTTTAACTACTCATATCTTGCCAGCAACTTTGGGTAGCTACAATAACAGCTAGCCTACCAGTTAACAGGCAACTGGCTACCTAGCCAAGCTAGCCAGAGACTGGAGATAAGCTATTAAACTTGATGGGGAAATTTAAAAGTTTAGGAACATTTGGACATTAAAAAGTTCCATAAATTCACCACATTTGTACCATTTTAGAGTAGGAGGCTTTTCACCTTGAATATTCAAGAAAGTCGCTGTACAAAACAGTAAAATTGAAGGATCTACACTGCTTTAACAGAAACCACCTTGAATGAATTCTGGGATCAGGGAACTGTAACTGAAAGACATTACTGAAAAACAAAAATAAAAAACAAATGTAATATTGGCATATCATCTGTCTCAAGTGCTACTAAACAAGAATAAAGACATCTACAGACTCCAGGCAACTCATGACACAAAAACATGACACAAAAACATACCACTGCTGATGGACGAGAACCTTCTTTGGTATTACATTTCCTTCGTGAGCCATTTCTACAAAAACCTCTTAAGAAAACAAGTGACAGCAGAAAATGTAGAAAATGACTGATAACAAAAAGAACTAAGGCACATTATGGTAAAGGCAGATCAGAAATAAAAGCTATACATCAGATTTTATTTTCGTTATTGTTGTGGATTTTTTTTTAATTAACCATAGGGAGATAAAAGGTTTTCAACCAGCAGCAGGGAATTTATATGTATATGTTTAATATAGTGTATATATTACATTGGTAGTGTGCGTGCGTGCATGTGTGTGAGTGTGTGTTGAGATGTGTGTGTGTACAGCAAGCAGATACTGCACAGCAAATCTGCCTTATTTTCATCATCCAGCAGCGTCACCGTAAAGGAAACACAGTCTCTCTCTCTTCATGTTTTTTCTTTTTCCTGGGTCGATCCATCCATCTTTCAATTTGTTGTGTATCTGAGGAGGAAGATATTTGGTTAACAAATGAAGGAGGATACAAATGTTCTGTTCTGAATAATGTAAAAGAGGGAGAAAGAAACAGGACGAAGGGCAAATAAAAGCATCATATTCTGGCATAAATAAGAGAATTAACTTCCAATAAAAGAAATTGAGTAATGAGAGAAGGTTGTCATAAATAATTGAAAGAAACAGGAACGCAACGCTGTATTTAGAAAAGGTTACACTTCTGGTACCTGGCAATGATATGCGTGACCATCTTGTCTGTGATGCCTGGACAGATATCTTCAGCTATTCGAATGTTACGTTCCAGCTCCTCGATGGCCAACCGCTGCTCAGAGTGCTCCTTGTGCTGTTGCTTCAACTACAGAAGAAGTTGAACAATAAGAATCATTTTTGAAAATCTTTTATTTTATTTTATTTTAGCTCACTTCTCTCAGGTTACCACAAAACCCTCCAACAAAAATCAGCACAAAAGCCCAAAATCAATGGCAGGATAACTACATATTCCCTGATCCCAAAAACAGTGTCTGAAACAAAAGGATGAGTGTATTGATGTTTAGGAGACTTGTGTATACCAACCTCTGTGAAGACGGGGGAGATGACTGTGGTGAGACTGGCAGATTTACTCATCTGATCCTGAACCCAAGGATGAAGAGGACAAGAAAACAAAAAACTGTGAGAATCCAAGTTATAATGACCTCCGACTTCCTCATATTGCATTAAAAAAAAAAAAATCCAACCCAGTACTAGCAAGGTGTAACTAATAAAGTGGCTGGTCCGGCTAGATGATTGAGACTGAGGCATTACTAGCAAGACCATTATGGACCATACTTCTGATTTGACTTTAAAATACAAGTAAAAACAACTACAAGTTAAAAAACAAAGTAACACACACAGGTGGTACTAACATTTCCATTGAGGATGGTCCTGCTATCTGACTTGTCCTGCTTCTTCTTACGGACAGTGGTGAAGGACCACTCTGGAGACTCGTTGTTTTCCTTATTACTAGATTCACTTAAAGAAAAAATGAACACATTTAAATGCACAGATAGATGTCGGACCTCTCTGCTCACACACACCTGAAGACGAAGTTCCAGCTAAATCAAGAGACAATACCTGTCAGAGTCGTCTGAACTGTTGTCACTGTGGTCCTCCTCCTTCCACCTCCTGTACCTGTCAATCAGCTCGCTGAGATAGGACGTCTTCTTGCAGTGTTTGACGATGAACTTGTGTTTGAGCAGCTCCTTGGCTGTGGGACGCTGCAGGACAAGAAAACTGATTGTAATTTTTTTTAATTTTTTTTTTTTTTGAAAAGAGATAAAAAACAAAAAACAAAAAAACAAAAAAAAACAGGTCATGATGTTATTAGTCTATAGATTTAAGATGAAAAGTTAAAAAAGCTTCAGCTTTCCTGGAGGAGATGGAGAAAAAGAATATCAGAAAGATAGGCTGAAAACAGAAGTGACCAGCAGGGGGCAGCAGGATCCAACGTAAATCACACACACAGAGAACAGGGAAGCTGTCCTGAAATATTCAAACCACCCTAACTGTAGGAAATGAAGCCATCTGCGCCAAGCTCACAAAATACTAAAGGGGGAGTTTACAAGGATGGCGGCCCAGCAGGTAAAGCCACCAATCAGAAGCCTAAGTTGCCCTTGATGACCAATAGAGTTTGTGTGTGGGTGATTGTTAGATATTACGGGCTGCATGAATGGGACTTTTAGCAGAAAGCACTCTGTGTGCTCAATCAGAGTAAAAACGCACAATAGAAGTCCCAGTCCATGCTACCATTTCCCAACACTGACACAGCTTATGAATAATCTGGGGTCAATAAAGCCACATATGTGGTAGCGCGTCTCTCCGTACAGCAGGAAATGCTAACATTTATGACTGATATAACATTAGTACAAATGTAAACTAACTTCCTTAGTTATTCATATTACTAGCTAATGTAAACACAGTCTAAGACGTGTATGCCGACAGCCTCGTCACTGCCAGGAAATTGAACTCGTAAGCTTTGCTAGTAAGTATACAAAACACTGTAAATAGTGCCTAAGTATTGACACCAGCGCCACTTATCCAAGTGCTTCCCACACCCCGGTGGGCCCAGCTGGGAAGCAGATGGTGTTGACTCAGGCTACATTAACTCAGCCCCAGGTTCACCTTATATCGGCCAGATGTCAGGTGTGTGGCGATACCTGGACCACGTTGAGCTAACACAACTTCTAGGTCCATAAATGAGCTGTAAACGCCAAACGTAGCCCAGGTTTGACACCTGGAAGCGACTGCCATCTGGAACTTGTTACAATCTAACAATTTTCTTAGCTGTATGTGGTCACCAGTGTAACAAATACCAAGTAGCAAATTAGTTTTGTAGTTCAACCTACTGGTTATTAAGTTAATTTTTCAAATAACCAATCTGCTTCTGTTACAGTGTTTCTGGATGCTGCTCATAATGTTATTCAGTTTCTCAGACTTCTTTCTAGCTGAACAGTGACAAACGCACGTGCCAGAGGCAAGATTAGGGGAAAAATTAGTCGAGGTATTGCAATAAAAAAAACAAACAGTGGACTTTTTGAAAGCAGGTGACTCATAATGTGTCATTGTCTCATAGACATCCAGAGTCTTTTGGTGACTCACAAACTAACAGATAGTAAAACTAAGGATGTTTTCCTTTGCATTTTTATTTTAGCTTAGTTCTCTAGGAAGTTCAAAAAATTGTTTCACTTAGTTTTCATTTTTTTCAAAAGTTAATTTTTTTTATTTTATTTGAGTCAACTAAACTGTATGTTCCACAATGAGTTTTAGTTTTAGCTAGCTATAATAACATCGCATCTTTTACACTGTCAGCTAGTAAGGAGCTCCATCAGCCAGCTACATACAGACCGAGTGGGCTAAATTAAGGGAAATCAAAGCTAGTTTCTCGTGATGTGGTGAAAGAAATGCTGCAAATATCAAAACGCTAAGCAGTGAGTTAAACTCAGTACATTTAGAGGTAAATGTACAGAAGGCTACATGAACTCTGGGTTTACAACAAAACATACAAGGCAGCTTATTTTGGGTAATTGAAACCCCCCCCAAAAAAAAAAAAAAACGACCTCAGAAAGTTACCAAGACTGTTGGTCACATAAATGCAACTGCTCTAGCTCTTTCCCCATAAAAACAAGATCTAATGACCTGACCTCTCCTGTACACTCAATGGCATTTGATGCCTCAGTATATATCAATAAAGACACGGTTTGACAACCATTGGGATCGTTTCTGGGTTTTTCCAAAGTCCAGAGACCACCCTCACTAACTTGTGATGCACACAAAGTTATTTTGTTCGACAGGCAGGAGCGAAATGTGACAGAAATTACTTAGTTCAGAAAAGAGAAATATGGATTACTCCAAGTAGGAATTAAAGGGATAAAGTGCTAAAGTAAAACCAGAAATGTCACAGAAATGCAGAGAGAAAATTTTAAGCACTTTCCACCAGTGTTAAAATAACATAGATTTTTAATGTGAATAGAACTCAAAGGATATGGCAGCTAAATACTTTTAAATTACAAAACCCCCAAAGGTTTATTGCATTAAATGTGTGTGTCAGCTGTGAGTCTTACAAAAGAAGGGTCCTTGTTGAGGCAAGCTTCTGTGAACTCTTTGAAGCTTTTGGAGAAATCACCAGTCAGTGTTGGAGGAGGGGATTTGGGGATGTGGAAGAGCACTCGCATTGGATGCATGTCGGAGTTCGGCGGTTCCCCCTTGGCGAGCTCGATGGCCGTGATGCCCAGCGACCAAATATCCGCCTGGGAGGGGCAAACAATAAACACATTTACATGTTATTGACAGTGATCAAAGCTTTAAACAGACTTTTTGCATGTTTATAGGTGGATTATGGCTATGTAAAGCAGACATACTCATACCCAGACAACACAGGGGATTTTGTATTCTTAACAACAAACTGACAGAGACACATGAAGGAATCTGATTTTTTTTTTAACCTTATAAATGACTTTAAACATTCATGTGATTGGGTAAAGATTATTTTAGCACAACTTTGATACAGGAATACAGGCTGTGCAGCTATTAATACATAAAGGCAGAAACACGCCAACATGCTGAGTCAGGCTGACTTTCTGTTTGCACGGTGGCTGTGACACCCAGTAAACATATGTCAAGCTGGTAAGGAGGAACACACTCACACACACACAAACCTGTATTTATATCCTTGTGGGGACATCTCATTGACATAATGCTTTCCCTAGCTGCTTACCCTAACCATCAAAAATGAATGCTTAACCCTGACCCTTACCCTAAACCTAACCACAACTTAATTTTCAACCTGACACTAAAACCACATTTTGAGTCTCAAAAATGCCTTCAAACTTGTGGGGACCCTGATTTTGGTCCCCACAAGGGCTGTTTGTCCCCACGAGTATAGAAAACTACCAATTTTTGGTCCCAGCGAAGATGTTAATACCTGTCCACACACACACACACACACACACACACACACACACACATACAGCCGTTACTCATGCATGAACGATTGAATATCCCATCTTCTCAACTTGCTCTAACAATCATGTGGCAGACCAGACAAGAAGCAGACATTGTCTTATATATGCACACACAGTCACACAGACTTCAGCTGTAGCAGTGCTGTTCAGGGTCACATTACTACAGGATGCTCAGTCACTATTTGACTGTTAACTCTGCCAGCTCCATTACAGTCACACTGACCATATGGCAGCATGTGGTAGGAATACACACACACACACACACACACACACACACACACACACACACACCCACACTCCCCGATGGACACCAAATGGTATAAAACAAGTAAATTCTCAATAAATACCTACAAAAATGAGAAAACTACTCATCTAGAGATTATTCATGATAAGGTTTTATTAGATTTCTTCCATGTAAAGAGGAAAAAGACCAAATTTGTGCCCGAGTCTGGGTCCCGTAAGTTGCACTCAAAAAAAAAACGAATAAAACTCCAGCAAATAGAAAAATGCTGCAAAAGCACTAAAAATACAGAGAGAGTAGAATAAAATTTTATTCATATTGGCGCAAACCAGGAACAGCAATGTGCCGTGACAGATTTGGCGTGAGGGAAGAAAGACAGGGCAAAAACAGAAAGGTTCCTGGGGACACAATATCGTGACGGACCACTGGCAGAAGAAACAAAAACCAAAACATGTAAAGGACTGCACTGAGGCACGCTTAAAAGAAGCACAGATTTCATCATTGTTGTGTGAGGAAAACAAGACGAGGTAACGTGTGTTTTAATCAGTGATTCATATAACACTGTATATTCATGTTAGCCATTTACTGCTAGCTTGTCACTTCATCAGGTCGAACATTGCATTATTGTTTCCCCAATAACACGTCTGCTTTGTTTCATCATTTATGTATTTATTTATTTTTTAGCTTTTGCAGTGTTTTCTTTTCTCTAATGTGATTTCATAAATTCTGTGATATGTAGAAGGATTTAACAAAAATTTGTTCTGTGCCTGGAAAGGTTTTTCTTTTTTACGTAGAAGAATAAACAAAAACTATCCAGGTGAGTGTATGCACAACTCTCAACTGTAGCTCAACACAACATAAAGTGTAGGAGGCACCACCTTTTTGAACTATTACCCTAGCTGGAGGCAGACCACTATTATTTAAAAAATAGATAAAAAGAAAAAAAAAAAAAAAAAAAAAGGCGATCCAAGCCTCTTCCACCTCTAATACAACCAGTGATGCAGAGCAGCTGATCTGTGCATCAGATGAACCCTTACACTTATCTACAGTTCGATCTAGCTGAGGTTCCCCCCACTTCCTGTCTGCTTTTTTTTTTTTTTTTTACTTGTATGGACTAAACCCCACAGGAAACTGTGGTGTTAGTGGCAAACAGTAGGGCAGAGTTAAAGAAACATATTCAACTTGTAAAAACATTTACATTTCTCAGTCATGTCACTGTCCTGAATCAGCCTCTGGCAGGCTTTACACTGCTCTCACGCTAATGGCTGTTCAGGCCAGTCACTGAAAAACAGGGCAAGACTTCTTAGAAATATAACTGAATTATGGGTTATGAGTGGCTGTAACATCAACTAACAAGATTATTTTGAGACAGTTGAAAATACTGCTGGTTGACAGAGGAAGTGCTTCTGTAAATGGTGCGGAGATTCAAATACCTCTGGTCAAAGTCACATGGTTGATGTATTAATAGGACAACTGACAGTCTGTGACCGAGACTGATATGAGATTAGGCAACACACACACACACACACACACACACACACACACACACACACACACACACAGCAAAGTACAATGGCTGTCTTCTGTTTGCAGGCTTGTTCTAACTTCTCAGGTTACATTTACGTAACCGTTGGCAAAGTCTCCAAACCGCCTTCAGTATTTCAACAAGTTGCACTTTGTCTTCCTTCCCTTTAAAGAGGATTTTAAAAAACAAAAAAACAAAACAGTACAGACTCAAACATTCATTCATACTTGAACCTGTTTTTGTTTTTCACAAACTACATGATTATTCCTTTAAAACTTAAAAAAAAAAACCCTTTAAATCAGGGGTCCCTAATCTCAGTCCACAAGGGCCGGTGTCCTGCAGGTTTCAGATGTGTCCTTGATCCATCACAGCTGATGTAAATGGATAAATTACCTTCCCAACAAGTCTTGAAGTTCTCCAGAGGCCTGGTAATGAACTAATCATGTGATTCAGGTGTGTTGATCCAGGGTGATCTAAAACCTGCAGGGACACCGGCCCTCGTGGACTGAGATTGGGGACCCCTGCTTTAAATGATGGTCTCCTGCAGATATTTGAGCAATTAAACTGTGCCAGAGAGATAATGAACGAGTCCAGCTTAAATGAGTTTTTGGTCACATTTCTAGATCATTTATAGACCTTTTTTGTTACCTGATCCCTCTAAGGCCAAAATACACAATATAAATCACAAAGGCACATGAAGGCAGTGTTACATATACGCACAAAGACACATGAACCAAACCACATCAAGAGGTCAAGTGAAAACACCCTAATGGATCTGCCTTATTTCCAAAGAACACACTTATAAAACAAGCAGACAGAAAGCAGCTCCGCCTCTTTATACAAATTTCATCAGTTTTGTTTGCTCTGTGACTTGCATCAAAACCTGCGTGTTTGATGCCAGCAGGTGCAAGGTGCATTTCTAACTCCATTCACTGCTGAAGTCATTGTTTTGATACACAAACAAAGGACACGGTGAGGGAATCTCTTCTAAACTGGGGACCAAGTGGACGATCATCATCATCATCCTCATCAAATAAAAGCTAAAATCGCCACGATGGCAGCAGCGTCTCTATTGGATGCAAATAAACCCTAGAGGACTGTGGAAATAATGCAAAGTGGGCCACAACAACAAATCCACATGTGTTGGGTTGCTACAGCAACACGCAAACAGAGTAGGAGGAAAATCACAAAGCGGGATAGTCTATTGTTTTTATTTTTTAAGACCTGGTGGACTTTTAAAGGGTGAGAAAATGCCTGTCTTGGTATAAGGATAGGTGCTGTTTGAATTAACTAGGAAAATTTGCACTAATCTAAAAGATGGTTCTTTCAAAATAAGTCTCAAACACTGATTAGAAGTTTTCTGTTAAAGGCTGTTATGTGACTACCGACTACCAATGCAGCATCACAATCAGGCCTTTAGCTAGAAATGCATGCTAACATGCTAACAAGCACAGGTTTCTCCATTCCTTAGCATTTGTATTTTTGACTATGAGAAGCTATTAGCTTAACATAAGAATAGTTTTATACTTTATTTTGTTGTGAACCTTGCCCAAAGTCATTAAACTTATGAGAAAATAATTTTCTCTCAAGTTTAACAAATTTATTAGACAACCACCCAATATTAGGATAATGCCTAACTTAACAGTATAGCTAATACACCAGTATGTGCAAGCTCTTAATTTGATTAGTTTTCTTAATTTTAGCGTATATTTTTTGGAAAAACACACCCAAAAACTATATGCAAAAAGCAACAACAACAAAATAAAGTCTAAAAATAACTGTGAAAATATGCTTTGCCTACTGTCCTTTTGTGCAAATAAGACATATATAGAAAGGTATGTCTGTCGTGCCTTGCATACTTATGGCACCTCAGACATAATTGGATAATTACAGTTTCCAAGAGGAGCTGAGTGGATGTGAAGAAGGGCAGCACAATAGAAAGTATTTTGTTTGTTTTACATTTAACTCTTTCGTGTTATGCCTCCAGGTCCAGTGCAGACGCAGTTTGTACAACTGCAACTATGTTAATGACATTTAATTCTGATCAAATTTGGCAGTTTTCTTTTGTTTTCAAGCACATGCTCAGCAGAGTCGTCAAGCTCATTGTTACATGGCTGTTGTTGACTTTAAGTTAGAGTTTCATTGTTAGATGGAAGTGGAAGTACAAGCTTCAGGTTTTGATGGACATTTTCAAAAGTTCACGCTGTCCGGGTGATGTAAACAAGCAGAACTGTTGTATAAGACACTTCCTCTAAATGTCTCTTATTTGTACAGCCAGAGTTTGCTCATTTTGAATGAATATGAGGTGGTTCTGCATTCTGAAATTCCCACAACTACCTTCTAGTTATAAGCTAAAGATTATGAATGGCCTTTATGAAATCTGCAACGGTATAAACAGGTGTCTTACCTTGGAGTCGTAGGCGGACTGCTGGATGACCTCAGGAGCCATCCAGAACGGCGTTCCCACAAAGGTTTCCCTCTTGATCTGCGTGTCTGTCAGCTGACCTGCCACTCCGAAGTCCGCCAGCTTCACCTGACCCTGCTCCGACAGCAGGACGTTGGCAGCTGCAGAGAAGCAAATAATTTAACCTTTCTGCAACATCATCGGACTGAGTAACATCATCAACTAATGGTAGTTATTTTGTGCAATAAATGTAATTCTGATTCTAATGCTGTCAAATTAAGTATAAAAATCGCAAAAGAATTCCAGATTTCCACTAAAGCGGCTGTCCTTCATCTCTGAACCCCTACAGCTAAGATGTTGAGTACAAAGTTAGCACATATTAAAGAATAAGTATCAAGTAAGTATCAATTTCACGGGTTTGAAAATTTTTTTTTCCATTTCCTCCTTCTGACAACTTCCCCTGTACTCTTAAAGATGACTTTTGACACATCAGGATATATCAATAAAGACGTAGTTTGACAAACATTAGAATCGTTTTCTGCGCTTTTCCAAGAATATCTGCACAGGCAGAGATCACCCTCACTAACTTCTGATGCACGCCCAGTCATTTTGTTCCATAAGTAGGCTGAAATATGATTTAAACACATCAGGGTGAATCAAACTACTCAGACCTCATGTTAAACCTGCTCTTAGGCCTGTGTGGGTGGATCAACATCCTGAGAGCTGTTTCACAGTTGGTAATGAGAACATGTTGAAGTTCTTCATTGTTTCTATGACAGTGTTTACTTCAATACCCAGCTCAGTAACGCTCGAGTGTCACAGCCTCGCAGAATATGAAAATCTTTTGTCAAATGTGAGAAAATCAAGTAGTGATCAGCGATCAAGAAAGCTTTCTGCATGGATCCTGCGACATAAATTAAATGGACGGGCTTCCAATGAAAGAGGTCATCAATTGTGGGAAGTTTCGTTTCCCCTAAGGCACCAACACCTGCACCGATTCTCAGATTCTGAATCTTACTTTCATTTAAATGATATAATATTTGAATCGGTGTTAGAGGTCCGGGCGCTACAGTCTAACCAGCACCTGCCGCACCTTTGATGTCTCTGTGGATTTTCTTCTCAGAGTGCAGGTAGTCGAGCCCTTTCAGGATCTCCTTCAGCATGGTGGCAATCTGAAACTCATCAAACGGACCTGCCCGCAGCTGCACACACACACACACGCAGAGTGATGACACGGGTATAAAATACACTGTGATATGCCGGAGGCTCACAAACACACCCTATTCCAGTTTCAATCAAGACAAGTCCCAACACAGAAAATTAGACAATCAAATGTTAATGAATCAGATTTTCTCATTTTAAACAGAGTTTTAAAAACTTTGTTTTTTATTTTGATTTAAAAAAATTAAAGTTTAATTTCTCTGTATTTATGTGCAAAGAGATGTTTATACTCATAAGTGAGAATTCTCCAAAACAGGGAGGATGAAACTAAAGGATAGGAGATTAAACGCTTTCTACATCTATTAGCGAGACCTCACAAACATTGGCTCTAGTCATTACTTGATATTATTTCACTTACTAGGTTTCATGGACAATAAATCCTCTACAAATGGACATAAAGACTCACCAAGTCGAGTGCTGAGCCCCCTCCAAGATACTCCATGATGATCCACAATTTACTTCCCTGAAAGACAGAATTACAAATAAACTTCCAACAATGTGCCTATAAAAATGACTCAACTACAATATACTGGGAATAAAAAAAAAAAATCCTTAGTTCGCAGTAGGTGAAAAATTTTCCGTGGGAAAATAACACTCCCCACTCCTGTGGAATTCCTTTTAAACCTGACTTAGATCGGCTTCCGGGCTGAATGAAAATATCCGCCTTACCTTCAGGTAGGAGCCATAGTACATGGTGATGTACGGACTGTCGCACTGACTGAGCACCGTGATCTCCTGCTGGATGTCCTCGATTTCATCCTCTGCCTCCTCCAGATCGATCGTTTTGATGGCGACGACGCTCTGAGTGCGATTATCGATTCCTTTGAAGACCTGCAGGAGGGAACGGGAGGCAGAGAAGTGAAAAAAACATGGATGTAAGAAAACAAAAGAGGATCACCAGGAGAGGAAGAAGAGAAAGAGAGAGGTGAGAAAGAATAAAAATGACGGGGATAAAGGAAGTGAATGTAGGAGAGAAGATGACAAAAAATAATAAATTACACCCACCTCTCCAAAAGATCCTTTTCCAATGCGATCCAATTTAGTGAACAGCTCCTCTGGATCGAGCTGAGTACTCTGAGGAGACGACGAACAAAGAGTTAACAGCTCCATAATAATAATAATAAAAATAATAAACTATTAGCAAAACTACAGGTCTCAAACAAATTAAGATAAATGCACCACACGGGCTGAAACACAAACAGACTCATGCTGCTCATTTGCAATAGATTAAAAACACATTTCTATCATTTATAATATCCAGAAGCAGATATCCAAGTCATTTGCATGCTTGGAATATCGGACAGACATCATGACGTGGAATGGCCAGTCTGGTTAAGACAAACGTCTCTCTTATTATTAAATAAGCTGTAGCTTGAAATTGAATGTATTTTTACAATTCCAACAACAGCAACAGAAAACCAGATTTCTGTTACTGAAGCTCAGCAGCGCTGTGACATTTGATGTCAAATTGATCCAAAAACATCTGCACATCCTGCGTGTTTATTACACATTTGAATATTATATAACTTCCAGTAAAACTGTTGGCTCATGAGTGTTAATGCATCGACACACTGAGCCTATTCAGGCGCGCCACCAGGTGTAACAATCATGTGTAAACTGATCAGGAATTACTAGTAAATAATTAACTCTTATTTTGAAAGTTCAGGCAGTTCTATCGCTCCTTCCTTAGTTTAGGGACTTATCCTCTTAACTTCACATTCAACCTGTGCTTTACACTGTGCTTCTTCCCAAGGTGCATCACCACGGTAACTTGAGCTGCAGATGAAACCTCCTCCAGAGCAGGTCACGTGTGAGCTCAACAGGTATGCGTCTATTCCAAGAAAGGCCTGTGGATCTCAGCGCTCAGTTGCCAGGAGGGTTTCAAGAGTGTCTAAAGTTTTTGTCTGTCTCTGATGAGCATCATTAAGAAGTATAGCTTCATACGAGGATCCTTTTTTTTCCTGTTGGCTGCAAGCTAGTTAAAACAAAAAAACAAAAACCTAAATATGGTAATATGATTGTAAAACAGGGAACCTATTTGTACCAGGTGACCTTACAGACTATTGTTCTTCATTTGCCATCGCAGCTGGAAAGAACAGGCCTAAAACTCTGTTAAGCATGTCAATAAACAGCCAGTTAATGTAATGGATTATCACCTGTTAGATCCTCCCTTGTTTGCTCTATAAATCTAACTTCTAAGAAAGACCTGGTCAAGGTAGCATCCACACCCTAGCTGTAGCATAAAACATTACAGGCCTTTCAATAAAAACATCCACCGGCCTCCTTCATTGCATACCTGATGATGCTTTAGATGCAGGGATGTTTAAAAGTTCAGGTGTGTGTTAATTATTCCTTGTCAAAGGTGCACAACACACACCAGAACCTTCAGCACATCAAAAAGCAACCATCAGAGCATCACAGCTGGTGCCTACTGGGTACGAAGACAAACTGGGAGTAGGGCAGGGCAATATTGCAAAATATTTATCACCATATATATTTGATAATTTGCGATAACGATATAACTGACAATATAATTGACACAAGACAAAATACTTTACAACTCCACAACTTTATTAGTGCAAAAAAACCAGCATCAATTTATTTCCACTTAAACAAGCAGCTGTTTCTTTATAATTGCATTAAAGCAATATAAAAACTTTACAGTGCAAATTCCTTGCTGACAGTTTAACCAAAAGGCATTTCCATTGGAAATGGGCCGATATATCCCGAGCATAACCATGTATGATATCCACACAATATAAAAAGAGGTGCTTTGCAACATGAAACTGCAGTGTGCCAAATAAATAAGTCAAATACGTATTTTTTTTGGACCATAAGGAGCATGGAATTATAAGACGCACTGTCGATGAATGGGTCTGTTTTCATCCATAAGGCACACCGGGTTATAAGGCACATTAAGGGAAACAAAACAGTCAGATAAGTCAAACTTTACTCAACTTTCTTCTTGCTTCCTCCACTTGCGTCCCATTGATTCATTAATGTTGAATTCTTTCACAGCTGCTCTACTTCCATTAAATCACAGAATTAATTATAGTTAAAAATCAGCTGCTAATAGACCAGTCTACGTTTCTGATGTAGTGACCGACTTATCCAGCTGATAGCCGCCTTTAGTCGCTAAGCCTGATTGCAGATGTTAGTCTAAGAGAAGCCCAGAAAGATATTGTGGGTGTGCTGACCTTGCTGTGTAAATACAGGTGCCTGCTCTGCAGATTCGCTGCAAGCTGGAGAGTCACCCTTACTGGCACCAGGTACGATGAGGTCAGCGAGGCTGAACTACCCTCAGCTGAATTCACTGAACAAACAGCTGCTTATCATGCACAAAATATTTCAGCTATAAAGATTCGCAGAGGAGTTACTAATGAGTAATTGCTGCCCTTGTTTTTGCAGGATTTGTTTTAAATATAAAATCACTGAAATTAGGCAGAAAGACAGAATAATAAGATATTATAGTGACTTTTAACATCTTGATGCATGCTCAATCTTCCAGGTAAGTAAATCCCAAAGATTGACTGTGTTCATCTGGACGTAGCGTTTCGTCACTCATCCAAGTGACTTCTTCAGTCTCAGCTGACTGCAGGTTTCCCCAATCTTATAAAGTCATTGCACAATGACTGGAACTAGCACCACTGAATGAACAATGGGCATTTCTCCCACTGAAAACGCTACATCCAGATGAACAGAATCAACCTTTTGGTGTAGTGACTTTTAACATTTTGCATTAATTTGAGTATTGAAACAGCATATATTGCAATTTATAATCATTTTTAAAATGCAAATTACATCCTCAAAGTTAAAATCTTTTAACATCTGATTTATTCAATAAGAATGATCTCACTTCAGTTTTATTTGCTGCATAATGAGACAGAAGAATGCAACACGGTCACTAAAACCTGCCATACGTAGTGCCACAGGAGTTTAAAGACGTACGGAGCTGGTTGTAGTATTTTTACTCGTGTGACTGAGCCGTTAGCTTGATAAAGCTACTTTCTAATTCAGAGCAAACCCAGTGTGTTTAGTGTTGGGTGGTTTTTCAGTTGAGTTAATGCAGTCTGGACCCCCAACATTAGTATCCTTGTATCGATACAATATAACAATGTAAAAAATATCAAACACTATACTGTCTTCCACCGCCCAAATGTTTTGTACGTTATATTTTAAAACATGCATGGGTTCTCTCCAGGTACACCAGCTTCCTCCCACAGTCCAAGACATGCAGTTAGTGCAGTTAGGTTAATTAGTAATTCTAAATTGGCCAAAGCTGTGAATGTGAGTGTGGATAGTTGTCTGTCTCTATGTGTTAACCCTGCGATAGACTGGCAACTTTTCCAGGGTGTTCTCTGCCCCCCCCGTATGACCCTGACAAGGGTAAGCGGAAGAGGAAACATTTGGATTTTTACATCCCTCAAAGCAAACTAAAACGTTTTGAGGACACAGAGAGAATTTTTTAAAACAGTATTTATCATTTGATATAATGACAGTGACAACTTTATTTATATAGCACATTGACTTGTCATGTAAATTAAATATACTTAACAACAAAAATGAACACGTAAAAATTAAAATGTTGGTTTAAAAACCTTTAAAAGGCAGTGAAAACAGCAAAACAGAACAAAACAAAAACAGCTATAAGATATAAGACTGTATCAATATGGATCCATTAGTGAAACCAAATAAAAGATGAATTATTAGAGCAACAAAAAAAAAAACCCGCAAAAAAACTTGATCACATTCCCAGCGACCTGCCTTATTTCCTCACACGCAAAACTTTGCAACATGAATGCAATGTTGTTACCACAGACTCACACAGACACACACAAACAGCAATGAGGTGCAGAAGGAAACAAGCATGACAGTTGAAGATAACAGGAACTGAACACACACAGCTGCGTGACCACACAAGCACACACACACACACACGCGCGCACAGTACTTATCTGAGTTACACTCATTTCCTAAAAGCTGCTGCGGCTCAAAGCGCAGCACTTACACTGAAATACACGTCATTTCAGTTCATTTCTCCCGTTTCTGCATTCGCACAGACTCAAAACCCTGCACGAGTTTCCAAGCAAAGCCGTCGTGGCCGTGACAGAAAAAAAAAAGAAGCCCAAAAAGGAGTCAGTGCTCAAAGCTGAAAACTGACAAGTAGGCACAGACAATTTCACAGAAATCTTGAAAAACAAAGAAAGTTTTGATCGACAGGAAGAAAACATCCGTGTTTATCATTGTGATGCTTCACATGTAGAATGAGCTCAGCAGTTCAGACTGATGCAACTTCCAGTTATATTTTAAGACTGCAACGTTCTTGGGAAATACATTTACACTCAAGCCACACTTAAAAGTTTGACACTTTTAATCACCTAAACCAATAAAATGTAAAGCACACCATCTTCATTTTGCTGTGCAAAGTAATCAGAAACACACATTTAATTCTGTGTCACACACATTTAATTCTGTGTCACACACTGCGTTAGGGCTGGGCGATATGGCCTAAAATCCATATCGCGGTATAATTTGAAGCACGTGCAGTAACGATATATATCGCGATATATTCTTTTCTTCTGTGTAACGTATTTTACACACTATAAGGCACACTTAAAATCCTTTAATTTTCTCAAAAATTGAGAGTGTGCCTTATGTATGAATTCTGGTTGTGCTTACTGACCTTGAACAGATTTTGGCGTGCAGAAATCTGTTAAAAAATGTTTTAGTACAACTTTGGTAAGCCGCACTGCTTGATGGATTGTCAGAGCATTACGGCTGCCGTAGTGAGGAGATTAGTAATCTGGGTCCAAAACTCCGTCCGCTTCAGGTCCCAAAGTCAAATGAACACTGAGTGTTAAAAACTGACTAAATTATTTCATATAAAATGATCAGCGTTGCTGCTTTACCAGGTGTAACAATTAAGTTTAACATCCAGGCATCCATGAAAACTGAATTTATTAAATTTAACGAAGTTAGAAGTTTACAGGAAGTTAGCTCGCTAGTTTCCACCTAAACATTTCATACCATGTTCTGACTGAGAGATTTTTTTAAACTAATTAAAACGTACAGCT